TATTAGAGTCTTTTTAAGGGGGTGGCTGTTCTGTAATATGAGTGAGCTGATACTTACATAATAATTTACTTAAAATGAATGCTTGAGGAGTTGACGGTTTGTGTCATAAAGATTACATCACAGGTCAAAGGTGGGTTGAAATGCTGAGATTCATAACTGTTAAGTTTTATTCCATTTTTCTCTCTAATTTGTAGTTGGATCAGTTTTTAAGTTTCCCCTAATGGGTATTCAAATACACATATTCCCAGCTATTGGTCTGTAATGTAGAGAGGCTAGATCCCTTTCCTCTGCGGGCATTTCCAGTTCTGTTCCGGTATGAAAGATGGCAGATGTTTTTTTCCTTTTGGTTTGTTTGTTCTTTTGAGCAAATAACAATTGCTCTATTGAACCTTTCCCGGTTTGACCCCACCCCTTCCCTCTTTCTCCATTAATCTGCCCTTCTGGGTAAATTCTTCTTATGAATACCTTCTCCAGGAAGGTGGTAGTGAGGGATTCCAAGCATTAACTCTCTACTGTTAGTGTGATTTTCTTTACACTTTCCACACATTTTTCTATTTCTCTGAAAAATCATGAATTTTAAAGAATAATTAATTCTGTATAAAAGTGTGTGTGTGTGTGTGTGTGTGTGTGTGTGTGTTTGTGTGTTTATTTCAGCCCATCCATGCCTAGAAGAACAGAGTATATATTCCTTCCATTTGCTGACCATCTATGTAGCTAAGAGTATAGGTATATATTTTGTAAATAGTTTTCTTAAAAACGGAAAAAAAAAAAAAAGGAGGAGTGGGGATACAATCCTCTTAAGCTGAAAAGGTAAAAGCCAGAAGTCATATTGGGAAATAGCTTTCATTTTTCATAAATGCTATAATTAACCATTTTGGAACTCAAACCATGATTGTGACCCCTCATGTTCTTTGAGGTGTCCACACCCACGTTCGGTATGATTTGGGGTGTTAAGTCCTGGTGTCAATGCCAATTCTAACTTAGAAATTACATTCTTCCCACACAGAAATTCCTCCTGGAGTTTCAACAGGAAAAATTATTCTTCATTTTCCCTCCCAAAAACTGTTGTGTAATGTTGCTGGCCGAGAGAGGAGATTGGTTCCACCCCAAAGCTAGCTGGGATTCAGGGGAAGTTGAAACAGCATCTATATATAGTATGTAAAATGCCTGAGGCTAACAGCAGCTGAAAAGCACTCCAGATTGGTAAGGCATTATTACTACTAAAGTGCTATTATTTTAACTTTGCTGCAAGTTACATCGAGCCTATAAAATGTGCCCAACAGTATAGCAGCCAGGTAAGCCTCACACTCAGGGTCATCGCCCCTGACAATTTGTTTCTCTTACAACAATGCTAACTGTTAATTTTTATTAAGCAAAAATTATTTGAATTTTTTTTTGCTCTACATGTCCTTAGTGGGAGTGAAATGACCAACAAAACCATTGGTTACAGTGTCATTTTTGAGTACTACTAAATACAGTAGCTGCCAGCCTTTCTTGAGATATTTTTTTAAAAAATTAGAAAAAATAATCTACTCCAGTCACACTGAGTCTTAAACACGATTCAGTTGCTACCTGCTGATTTAATCAGTCCTTTTCAGTGAAAAAATTGAAATTGGAGTATAATATGCATGATGAAAATTTTTAATAAAACACATTGGAATTTCTGTTTCTTAATGGGAAATGGAAATGATCTAGCCAATGCACCTTTTAAAATCTTCAGTTAAAAAAAGAAAGAAAAAGAAAACAAAATGATAGGACAGCATCGAAGCCTGATTACAATCTGTATATGTATTACAATGCAGAACCCCTCGTGTGCATCACGCTGGAATCCAAGAGGTTGTGTGGGTTAGTCTGATGACTCGAGGCCAGGACCTTTAGCCAAGGTGTTTTGGTTTTGATCTTTGAGGGCATCGGAGAATTTTGCTTCCCTCTGTACATAAAACCAATCCCCACACTCACACTGCATCTTTGGAAGTAAACAACAGTACAGAAGAAAGGACTCAAGACACAAATTATTAAAAATCTATTTCCAGGCAAATGGAACTTTGACACGGGGGACCAACAGCAGTGATAAACAACAGAGCACATTTTAGTCAACAGGTTCAATGAGAAGCCTTTCCTGCCCAAATAAAGAGCAAGCCGGTTATGGTTTATCCCCCTTGTACCAGGTAAAGGTGGTAGAACGCAGATTTTCTAAATGCTCGAAAATGAAAATTGTTTTGTACTTGGCAAAGGCTGTCCAATGGAGTTTTCTGTAATGATGGCAAAGTCCTGTATTTGTGTTTTCTGTCTCATGAGGTCACTAGCTACATATGTTCACTCAGTACTTCTGAGATGTTAGCATAAGTGACAACTTAAATTTTATTTAATTTCAATTTATTATAACAGCTGCATGTGGCTAGTGGTTGATGTATGGGCAGATGCAGTCTATGCATCAGGAGAAGGAGCTTACCCAAATTAGTAGACATCTCCAAGCTGGAGTGCATTCCCTTCTTCTAGGAAAGGTTATGTCTGTGCACTTGAATTGGCAAGTGGTGTATTGCCTAGTTTTATGTCAACTTCCCCACTTGACTGGCTTGTGAACAAGTCTGTGGTGCATGTTCTCATTAGGGATTGAAGGGAGAAGTCCCATCCCACTGTGGGTGGTGCCATCCCTGGGCTGGTAGTCCTAGGTTCTATAAGAAAGCAGACTGAGCACACCATGAGGAAGCAAACCAGTAAGCAGCACCCCTCCATGGCATTTGCATCAGCTCCTGCCTTCAAGTTCCTGCCTTGATTTGTTACCCTGATTTCCCTAGATGATGAATGTATAAAATCTAAGGTGAAAAAAAAAAGTCTCTCCTTCCTGAGTTGCTTTTGGTCATGGTGTTTTGTCATAGCAATATAAATCTTATCTAAGGCAGGAGGAAGAGAAAGAACTGGGTGCTGGAGTTTGAGAATCCAGATTCCAGTCAAGTTCCCTTAGGACAAGTCACTTTGTTGGGATTGAATTTCTTCCCATAATGGTACTAATGCTCATATTGTTAATTTCTTGTGAGGACTAACACAGGAAAAGTTCTTATGACCAAACCAAAGGCCTGCCATGTGGTCACTGATGTTAATACTTGCTCATTATCATTAGAGATATGCTGAAGACTACAGACAGAAGCCTAAGCTGGACACAGTCATTAACCTATGAGCATTTAATTATTGCAGCTGTGGGTGGATTACTGGGATGCCTGCCAAACTGTCTAAACTTATTAAAATATTGAACTTATCCTATTCATTCATTCATTCATTCATTCATTCATGTAAATACCAGGTTGTGAGTATTATTCTGCCAGGCACCTTGGAGTAAAGAAGGGAGACTCACAGTTTACCTCTTCTAGCATGTAGTCTAGGACAAGCTATGATGAATTCAATTAAAGTTCTGTAACAGTGGTCTATCAATAGTGAAAATTGTGATAATAGCATGACAAATTTGTTGAGAGATGTCAAAGAATTTCTTCCTACTTACTTGAGGGATGGCAGTATCTATGTACCTCCTGTTTCTTCTTATACCTTCTTCCTGCTTATAACTTACTGCTTTTAAGTGAGTTTGAGTGACAAATGTATCCTCTTCATTTATATTGTGGTAGAATTCATGTTCTATTTAAAAAGCAAAATAACAACAACAACAACCTCTATTGATGGTGGCTGTTTCGGTTTGTGTCTTAAAGGTTCCCCCACAAACTTAGGTTTTAAATAGTTGTTCCCAGATAGTGATGGTTTTTGAGAAGTTTGGGAGTTCAGCTTAGCTGTGTAATAAAAAAAGAAAAGGAAGGTGTGGACCTTTGAAGTGTCTGTATAGCCAGGATATGGTTCTGTCTGCTTCCTGAGCTACTACTGTTATCCACAGCCATTAATATTGCCCTGCCATGATGGCCAAAGAACTCTCTGAAACTGTGAACTAAAGTAAATCTTCCCTCACCAACTTGTCATGGTTAGTTGTCACAGAAATGAACATGAGTGACTGTCAAATACTGCTTAAAGAAGAATATTAGTGTTCTCTTTCCAATAATGTCCTCTGTCCTGAAATTAGAAAATGCAGGTCAACACCCAAGATAAATGAGGAAAGCTTTCAAAAAGGCAACTCCCCAACTCAGGTCATGAGTCGAAGTTCAGAACACTCAGTGGCCATCACACTAGCTTATCGCACCTCCGTGTAGGGAGTAGAATGGCACAAAATTGTTGGCAAGAGGGAATGGAACAGTCTGGAAAACACTAATGAATGCTCAGCCTTCTGCCATCAGGTCAACAATTTCAACCCAAGCCAGACCTACAATGACAGAAGCCCCTCTGGATGTCAGTGTCCCTACCCAGTGTCCATCTCAAAGTCAACAATACTGCCTGATTTTCTGAATTTAAAACCAGAGTTGAGCTAGTGATAATTATTGCTCCATGGGCTATGTATATGAACAGTTGTAGGAAAAAAAACTGTATTTTGTCTTAACTATTTGACAAGTTAGTCAAATTTGATACTTGTGAAGAATCTATTAATTTTTAAACAGGCAAAGTGAAATGTATTTTAAGTTTAACACAGACTATTTCATAAGTGAGGGACAAATAAATGAATGAATGAATGATTGTATGTAACTCTATGTTGCCAGCTCTTCTAACTAGAAGTACTGTCAGGGTTAGAACATGATTCATCTCATGGTTTTTGGCAAATGGAAGCTTGGGAAGTATTGTTTATGCACCATGCAATTAAAAGGTGGTTCCTGAAATTTGGAGCAGTGATAGCTAACTATGGACTCACATGCTAATTTTTCATAGAAAGTTCAGGTGTAGATTATGAAGGGACACACAGGTGAGTTTCACCTGACAGGTCGTTTCCTTTGTCAGGTAGCAGATATAGCAGCATAAAGGTAGGTGGCTGAGAAGAAATCATCCACAAGACTTTTATATTTAATGGGGGGAAAACGACATACCAGAAAACCTAGGCACGAGGCAATTGATTTCTCAGTTGGGATGTATTTCAGGGAAAGATGGCAGCGTGCCTTCCCCATCAGGACTTGGTCATCATTCCACTATTCATGAACAGATGCCTTGCGCACATCCCCAAGTGTAAGTGAATTCATTAAAAGATCTGGGGAATTGAGATATTAATTCTAAATCATTACATATTATAGATTTTCTGGAAACAAGTAAGGGACATGGCAAGGAGAGGAGACAGGAGAGAGTTTGTTTGACTCTTGGCCAGAAGTTGGTCTCCTGAGATCAACCGAGAGAGTTCTTTTGAAAAAGCATAACTTTGCAACTCTTAAAAAAGATTTAAGCAGATATTGTCACAGCGTCGAAGGTGACACAAGACGAAGTTGAGTCATGAACACCAAATGCCATATATGGAGGAAGAAAGCAATAATTTGCTGGATGGGAGAGTGTGCAAGTGATTTTGTTCTCTATGTACTATAGAAAATAATTTTCTGTTGAATTTTTGTCAGTGCCTCTGTCCTACAGAGCATTTGAAAGGAGACCGTTAATAGTAAACATTCCTATAAATACATAGTGGCGTGTTTCTTCTTCTTTTCCATTTAGAGCTTCGTTGCTCTCTTTCCAGATTATTTTTTTACTCAGGCAATTTGGCACTAGTTAGTTGATGTGTGGGTGGGTGTATTTTCTCACCTGCACAATTAACTTGAAGTTATTTTTGGAATCATTTTCATTTCCAGCTATTATGATGATACCATACTTGGGAAAAAATGCTGTTGAGTTTGAATTCAGAGATTCTGAGTATCTAAGGGCAAAATGTGACAATCGGGTCACAGGGAGAACTTCAAAATAGCATCAAAACTGTGTTAGGATGAAGTTGTCAAGTAGATGATTCCTATGGATGTGTTCTTCATGCATTCCGCCTCTGTTAGTTGATGTCCCATCATGACAGCCCTATGGGTGAAACATTGAACATTTCTATCTGCTTTTCAAATGACTTAATGTCATAAAAATGGAGTAGTGCCTTGAATGGTCTCTTCAAAATCTTATTCAAAAACGTGGATGGAATAAATTGTAAAAATATACTCTGTTTCTGTAATGAAATCCTAATGACATTTTGTATATTTGGTCTTGTTTTGTTAGTTTATTTTGGTATTGCTTGTTACTTCAAACCCATCAACACCACAATCGTGTTGAGATAAATATTCCCATATATTGTTTGGCAAAGAGGAAGTATGGGTTGTAGAGAGTCCAAACCTTTTGAGTAGAAATCTCCAACTCTGAAGAGATACATGACTTAGGCATCTTGATGTTTATCTTTCTAAATAAAGACAGAGAAACCAACACCAGTATCTGGCCCACTGACTGTCTTTGTAAATTAAGTTTTATTTGGACACCAGCCTACTGGTTTTGAGTACAACCTATGACATTTTACACTATGGTGGTGGAATCTAGCAATTTTCACATAGATCACAGGACTCCAGAGCCTAAAGTATTTCCTGTCTGATCTTTATATGAAGTTTTCCAACTCATATTTCACAAGATTTTCATTGATGTTTTGAGATTACAGTATCTTTATTTCTTTTAGAAATTATAAAAAACTAATTTGCACACAAAATATCTAAGTAATAATTTGTTAAATATTGATTTTCATGTCAGTGTTAAACAATGAATGTGAGTTACTAATCAACCCTATGTAAAAATAATTTTAATGTACATTTGGATTTTCTTTTTTAAATGTAGCCAACACTGTAAATTCACTAATTTAAAAGACAGTATAATTTCTTTTTTCCTAAAAACATAGTATTTTAGAGATATGCTTACTTTGAAGTATCAATTTTTATTTAATGAAAATCCATGCATCATGGACTTAAAACATGAATGAGATAGATAACAGCTGTGACATCAAGAAAAACAGTGGGATTGTGGGAAATAGTTATCCCTACCACAACCATATGTTCACATTCCTGCCTTGCACAGTAACGTGGTATCTTGGGTTGGAACAAGTGACCTTAAACCTGACAGGAAAGCCCAAGAAATCAGCAAATACGCAGGAACTCTTTCTTTGAGTTGTGTTAACAGTAGTCATAGGTGATCCTGTCTAGTATAAAAAATAGTATTTGAACTTTAAAAACTACAGATTTTTGTTGTAACTGAAGAAGATGGAGAAGGAGCTGTCATAGTTTAAGAAAAAATGATGATTTTAGTAGAATACGAAATGTGTGCTGATTCTTCTTTGAAATAAGACATGGATCTCTGCCACCTGTTTCCACCCAGCTGTTTAGCTCCACTGTGGGTTGTTTTTTCTTTTTCATCTGTGATACAGTGTTCAGATGTCAGCCAACAGCCCCACTTCCTTTTCATACACATCATGCAATCTACTTGTCTTCCTTTGGATCTTAGATGGTCTTGTGACTTGCTTTGACAAATGAAATGCAGATCATCTGACATCCTGGGATAACTGTGGTCCAGTCTTTGAGAGAAGTAGCAGATTCTTCTGGAAACCCAGAAGAAGATAATAACTCAAAGAGGAAGGAATCACAGTGACATCAAACACTGCTGGCAGGTTCCAAACAGCCAACTCATGCACTAAGAACAGGTCCCAGTCCCACCGCCTGGGAACCTCCCAAACAGTTCAAACTAATCAACTGTCTCACTTATCCAGAGGGCCTGATCCAGTTGGGGGCTCCTCAGCTATTGGTTCATAGTTCATGTGTTTCCACTAGTTTGGCTATTGGTCCCTGTGCTTTTTGCAATCATGATCTCAACAATTCTTGCTCATACAATCCCTCCTCTTTTTTGCCTATTCGACTCCTCGAGCTCCACATGGGGCCTGGCCGAGGATCGCTGCATCCGCTTCCATCAGTCATTGGATAAGATTTCTAGCACGACAATTTGGGTGTTTGGCCATCCTATCACCAGAGTAGGTAAGTTTGGGCTTTCTCTCAACCATTGCCAGTAGTTTGGAACCTAGGGCCTATGGAGGGACACTTGCTCAGCCTGGGAGGAGGGACTGGACCTGCCTAGACTGAATCTACCAGGTTGAGCTGAATCCCCAGGGGAGTCCTTGCCTTGGAGGGGGGGGGGGGGGGGGGGGGGGGGGGGGGAGGACAGGGGAATCCGTGGCTGATATGTAAAATTAAATCAAATTATAATATTAAAAAGAAAAAATACTGCTGGCAGGAAGGTAGACCAAAGACCAAGAGCTGATTGTCAGATAGAGTCATATAAATGCCATTCATATTTGGATTTCAAATATCACATGGAGCTGGGCGGTGGTGACACACACCTTTAATCCCAGCACTGGGAGGCAGAGGCAGGCAGATTTCTGTGAGTTCGAGGCCAGCCTGGTCTACAGAGCAAGAATCAGGACAGGCACCAAAACTACACAGAGAAACCCTGTCTCAAAAACAACAACAACAACAACAAATCACTATGGAATGTTTGAATTAAAATCCTGTCTAAAGTGAGTTCTTAAAAAAAAATTGTTACAATACGTGTGTATCAAGACAAAGGTCTATAGCAAGAATTGACAAGATTTACAAGTTAGTTCTAGGCATATACTAGGTGTCAGAAGAACCTTGATGTGTATCACCCATCTGCTCCCAATTTCCCACATATCTTTCCCCAGTGATTCAAAGTGATAGGTATATCACATCCTGCTAGGCCTAGAATAACAGGAAATCAATTTTTGTCGTTGGCATTTTCACTTTTCTGACTTAAAATGTAGCTGCACCACTGAAGAGTCCTTATGATATATTAGTCACAATAATTCATGATTGTTCTTGGTTGGAGAACATTTGCTTAAAGATTGGTAGAAAGTGTTCCTTCCCTGTAATTTATCTCAATCAAACCTTGCTACAGCGCCCCCTGCAGGGCAGGTGCTGTTTATTGCCATGCCCTCTAGTTTTAAAGGAATTGTGTAACTTGGCCAAAGTCACACAGAACTTTAAAAAGACAAAACCTAGGTTTACCTTGCTCCAAAGGCCCTGTGTATCCTGTGCCTGAGGCCCCTTTCAAGGGAGGGTGGTCTATCCACAGAATATGAAGTCATGCAACCCTATTGGAGACCACTCACTCATAAAGCTCCTATGATACCATGACTGCCTTGGGAGACAAGGTTTCTATTCCCAACCTGCAGAGCCATTCTGGAGAATGTCTAGGGAAAAGGCAGAGTTAAAAGTAGGCCCTGGTCACAGTCCAACCTGAGCAGGAATTCTATCTCTGCCACCAGCTTTGGAATATGACCCCCCAAAGCTCTTTCCTGTTAGCATTATCTGTCATGTGGAGATGGGTTAATACTTCCCTTTTTCAGTTGTTAAAAATTAAAAAGAAAAAAATTGTAATAATTTTGACTTAGTGTTTGCTATTACTCTTTACTCTGATAATATAGCTATACCAAAGAAATGTGGTATTTAACATTAACAAATATAATGCAAGTGAAGCTTAGCACAGTGGAAGTGTGGTTAGTAAAGGATAGTGGGAAAATATTAGCCTGGAGCCAGACAATGCTAATTCCCATTGAAAACCTATTTTTTTCGAGCTGTGGGCTGCCCAGTGATAAATTAATTTATAAAAGGCAATTCCTGTCACTTTCTAGTTGTAGTCAATTAAAGCAGAAATCAAGTATATGTTAATTGGTATAAATTGGATCAAAAGCTAGATATCTGGTTATTTCTGTGACACATTCTTCAAAAGGATACCATCTTACAGCTTGTCCCATGAAATATTTTATTTTCATGTTTATATTCTTTCATCATTGGCATGCATTCTCTGGGTCTCCACAACTGGCGTGCCAGATTTTAATTTATGTCACAAAATTCAACCTGGAATATTTTTTGCCTTTGGGAAGGTTCATAAAGTACCACAAGTTTCTTTTTTCTCACATAAAATTGGGATATTAACATGAGTTAGTGTAAGGATAATGTTTTGCAGTAAATGGGGATTGTTTTACTGCCCTTTATAAAAAATTGTCACTTCTTGCTTATATGTATGTCAGCAGGTTGTTTGAATGTTCACTGAAGAGTGTAAGCAGAGCTACAGATGGGAATGTGGAGGATCCTGTGGACGGTGTGTTCTCTTTCTAAAGGCAGAAATAAATAATGCATCCATTACTTTTCTCATTGCCATGACAAAATACCTAAGAAAACTAACTTAAGGAAGGGTTTGTTTTGGCTCACAGTTTGAGGGATACAGTCCCTGATGGTGGGGAATGCATGGCCACAGGAGTATGAGGTGGCTAGCTGTCTTATATCCTCAGTCATGATGTAGAGACCGATGTCTGCTGGTGCTCAGCTCACTTTTTCCTTTTTATTCAGTCTGGCACCCCAGAAATTTGCATGGTACCACCCACATGCAGGGCACATCTTCCCTCTTCAGTTAAAGCTTTCTGGAAATAACCTCCCACAGCCAGAGGTGTGCCTCCTATGCCTACTTGGGTTGACAGTGAAGACTGATAATCACGGACCTCTCTTTCAGACACAAGCTGGAGAAGAGAGCAGAAAGTCACTGCTACACCAAAGCTCTCCTCCTCCTCCACTCCCCATGAGACACCTGTTTAGGTAGGGCTTAAATTTAGGAACCAGGAACTTCATCTAAATCTCGGCTTAGGAACCCCTCCTCTGAAAACCTGGGGTATCATATTGTCTTCTGAGCCTGTCTCTTCTTCAAATTCATGAATAATTATAACCAGACTTAAGCAAGCACCTAGCTTGTAAGAATGTGTGTTCACCCAAGGCTTCTAACACTGTTGGGTGAGTGTGATTATGCATACAGAGCACAGCTACAGAAATTGGCATCTAGTAGGTATTCATAAATGAGGCCTATTAATGTTTTCTCTGGTATGACTGGAAGAGCATTTCCAGTGCATAATCATAGTTTATTAAAAGACTGACATTATGGAGTGGACTTGTATGTTATAAAGGGCTGGGTCAGCATAAAGGATTCTTTTACAATGTCTTACAAGTGTGCAGTGACTAATGACCACAATTGCAAAGCACTGCAGAAACCCCATCCTTTGATGATTGCCAGGCTTATTAAAATGTCTATGACTATTTCAGAAGCCCACAGGCCTTTAAAGAAATAATTCATATATTTATGCATTTATCAAATATTTAATAAGTACCTACCATGTACCTGGCAAGACTCTGGCATTATTTTAGGGCCATATTTATGCTGGTCAATAAACTAAAGTCCAGATGTATGAACGTTTGATATTTCAGCTGGAAAATATCCATAAACACTATGTTAAGGTGTACAGAGTAGACAACTAAGTGTATGATTTTTTGAGTTTCAGGAAACAGGAAGTCTGGCTTCAAAATATTAACATAGGAGTAATCATAGCACAACATTTCATAAATCCAAGCCCAGTCATATTGAAGCTTAATTCTTAACACTATCAGGTTTTTTTTTTCCTTCTTCACAAGTAACAAAACTAGACACTCTCTTCTATAATCTTTAGAAAGACAGGAAGAGCCAGGCGGTGGTGGTGCACACCTTTAATCCCAGCACTTGGGAGGCAGAGGCAGGTTGACCTCTGAGTTCCAGGCCAGCCTGATCTACAGAGTGAGTTCCAGGACAGCCAGGGCTATTACATAAAGAAACCCTGTCTCGAAAAAACAAAGAAGGAAAGAAAGAGAGAAAGAGAGGGAAAGGGAGAGAGAGAAAGATAAAGAGAGAGAGGGAAAGAAAGAGAGAAAGGAAGAGAGAGAGAAAGGGAGAGAGGGAAAGTGAGAAAGGGAGAGGGGGAGGGGAGGGAGAGAGAAAGGAAGGAAGGGGAGAAGGGAGGGAGGGAAGGAGGGAGAGAGGGAGAGAGGGAGGGAGGGAGGGAGTAAGGAAGTCACTGCTGGAAAGAACTTAAAAGAAGAACATAGCCGCCGGGCAGTGGTGGCGCACGCCTTTAATCCCAGCACTCGGGAGGCAGAGCCAGGCGGATCTCTGTGAGTTCGAGGCCAGCCTGG